TAAATTGAAGTTTGACCACGTTACGCCAATTTTGAATGATCTGCACTGGCTGACAATTGATAAAAGAATATTTTTAAAATTGGTGTGATTATGTTCAAAGCATTGAATGGAATGTCACCGGATTACATAACTGATAAATTTACCAGAAAAGAATCAACTTCTGGTTTCCATCTTCGATCAGATGATATGAATCTCTTGAGGGTGCCAGTGGCGTTTTTACAGATTGGTTCGCGTGATATTGCAATCGCTGGTCCTACTGTGTGGAACAATCTCCCTGCACCACTAAGAAAGCCTGGGCTTCATCTTCGAGCATTTAAAAAAGATTTAAAGACATTTTTATTTTTGTTGAAATTACATTGAATTCTGTACTACTTGATTTTGTACTATTTTGTTTGTCACGTATATAATTGCTTTATTTTTGAGAGCGCCTGTGAGAACATTTAATGGGCGCTCTAGAAGTTATCCTTAATAATAATAATAATAATAATACATACATACATACATACATACATACATACATACATACATACCTACATACATACACACATGCATGTATCAAATGAGTGAGCAATGTTGCATGCATGCATCATAAATCTGTAAACCTATCTAATCAATGATCTACACACATACACACCCACATACACACACACACACACACACGTGCACGCATCAGTGAATCTATTTGTTGCTTTGTGCTTCCATAAATCAACATCAACTTCAAGCACTAATCCTACTGCAGCACTAATAGGAATAGATAAAATGAATATTCCAGGTAGTGGTGGCTGTAGTCTTGCGAGTTGTGGCTGCGGTGGTAGCGATGGTGACGACTGTTGTGGTGTAGTGATGACGTGGTTACAAGAATGGTTGATATGAGTGCTGGCTGATAATAAATCAGTTTTTTCTCAGAATTTGTTGCATGTTGCTCTGCTAGCCAATAAGAAAGACTTATTCACCAAAATTCATTATAGTAAGATTGACGTTGATAAAAAACGATGATAATGATGATGATGATGGTGATGATAATGATGATGATGATGGTGATGATGATGATGGTGATGATGATGATGATGAAGTCAAAGCCATTGGTAATGACAATGATTACGTTGAAGAAAATAATGACAGTGTTGATGATGGTGATGCTAATGATGATAATGACAGCTGTCCTGGGCCAGGCTAGAGCAGAAAAAACGAATTCTTTGATTAAAATTACACGTTGGAGTTGATGGTTCAATGCATGTTGTGCTCTGCTGAGTGTGCCGATCTTCATGTTTGTTTTTGTGTGGTTTTCTTCTTGTCATATTACGCATCATCTATCATCATCTACCATCATCTACCATCATCTATCACCTGTTCTTTGTCATAATTGTTCCTTGAAATCATTGTATGGCATCATGGTATCATTGGTGTCATTGTCCTCATGATTAGTTACTTCCAATTTATTATCTTTAGAATATATCATTTTGTCAGTCTTCATCAATTTTCGTCTCAACTTTTATGAGTGTCATATTCCTGATCCAGTTTATACACTGTGTTGGACCCTTTCAGTACATGATATTCATTTTTATTTTAAAAACTTAATGTGGTCATTTTTTATTAATGATTCTGATATTTTATTATTTATATTATTATTATTATTATTGTTGTTGTTGTTGTTGTTGTTGTTGTTTTTTCATCCTTTTAATAAAAATAATAATTATAATTATGTACATAATAATAATAAATAAATAAATAATATAATAATAATAAATGATTATTGTTGTCATTTTGTTATGTATGCATGGGAGTTGTCAACTTCAAATAAACTTCTATCATGTTCAATTGTGTTTATTGCTGCATGGTGCTTATGAACAATTCATGCCTTTTTGAGGTGCAGATGTTGTATTAAAGTATTAATAATAAACATAACAACATTTATATTAGTAAATTAATGTAGTTAGTAAAATTTCTCATAATGTAAATTGTTATGTATGTTATGTATATTGCAATGGTTCAACGTTCGGACCCGAATCGTCTGAAATCTGGAAAGATTTGATTCGTCGAATCCAACGCCAAAGATTCGGTAAAAACCGGATCCGTTGTTGTTGAATAAAGTTGAAAAAATAATTTTATTAAATATTTTAAACTACAAATTAAAAAGTGAAATTTTATAAACATTTAGAATCTCGTATTAACCTGTTCAACACATGTTTGTAACTACATCAAACCAAGCATCTCTATTTTATAATTACGTCATTAAACGGCAAGATTTTAACCATGAACCACCAGTTTGGAAATTTTTTCGATTATTCTGAATTGCAACTCCAAAAAAAAATTGTAGCCATATTAATGCTAAAGATAGATCGTTGCGGAAATGAAAAAAAACCACTGAAATAAAATTCGAAAAAACTTGTTTCTTATGAATGCAAAGTCATTTGCAGACGATTACAAAGAAATGTTCATTCGTCATTATGGAAGCATATTTATTGGACAAGGCAGCGTTGATCACTTTTTGTTTAGATATGATGTGCATTTTTTGAATGAATGCATCAGACGTTAAGCTATAGTTTCTCTTTTGAATTTAGTTTTAATCGGATCACTCAAAATTAATTTGGTTCCCATCACTCTGTTGGAATCAGTTAATGGAGAAAACTTGAGTATTTAATTAGGAGCCCGAATGCACAAGAGATCCGGATTCGAATCCGTCCGATTCCATCACGGTACATGTTGTGCCAATTCCGCCAAAGTTTGGGCATGTAAAAATTTAATGATATATAATACATAATCACTAATCACTGATGATGTTACTTGGTGTATTATAGGCTCATTGAAAGAGATGTGTAAGGGGCTGGCTGTCTCGTGGATTAGTGATGTGGGGTGCATTTATCGAGTCCGGTTTTTTTTGCTAGTTTTCATTAATCGATTATCTAACATTAATTATTTATTCATTGATGAATCGATTATATAGAGAAAATGTTACCGAAAAGTTGTTGTGTTTAATTACAGAAAATCAGGCGAGAACTCATTACTCAAACTCTCACCCGCAGGCATAAACACGCACACACACACGCACACACACACGCACACACACACGCACACACACACTCACGCATAATGTGATTTAATTTATTATGATGTAATATGATATGACGTGATGGTTTTTAAAATTTGTTGATGCAAGGAACTGAAATAACGACTGACAATCATTGAAGGCATGGCAGCGGACAGAACAGAAAAGTTGTACGTCGGTGATGCTGTGCTGGCAGTGAATGGTGAGGACCTGAGAGAGGCCACACACGATCAGGCTGTCAAGATTCTGAAGAGAGCTGGCAAGGTCGTTGATCTTGAAGGTCAGTTGAGATGATGCGGTTGTTGTTGTTTGTTGTTGTTATGGTGGGATGATGTGGTTGTTGTTGTTGGTTGTCAATGACATCATCATTATTTTCATCATCAATCTCATCAACAACAACAACATACAGTAAAATACTTGAGGGAGGTGACTCCATTTTTTCGAAGGGGTGTCCTACTTTCCGAGATAGGATGGTCTGAAAGTACGACCACTACCACAAATGCTAGCAACAGCCACAACAACAACGGCTGCAACAACGTCAACAGTAACTCACTTAAAAGAAACAAAAGTGGTAAAAATAATTTTTGGCCTTCAGAGTTCAAATCAATTCCACTTGGATTGTGTTATGTGTGTCGGAATGTCACTTACGTCGACTCTGAGAACAGGGTTGGTGTGTTTCAGTGCGTTGGTGGATTTCAATATGCTGGTGTGTTGGTGGGTTTCAATATGTTGGGGTGTTTCAATATGTTGGTGTGTTTTAATGTGTTGTTGTGTTTTAATGTGTTGGTGTGTTTCAATGTGTTGATGTGTTTCAATGTGTTGGTGTGTTTCAATGTGTTGGTGTGTTTTAATGTGTTGGTGTTTTTCAATGTGTTGGTGTGTTTTAATGTGTTGGTGTCATTGCTGGCTGATGAATTGTGAAACAAATTTTGCATTAATTATTATTTTTTCCTCACATTAATTTATATATTATATTTAACAACATTATTATCAGTAACCTGAGTAAAAACGTTTGTAATCTTCATTTCATCTTAGCTCATCCACCCATCCATCCATTCATCCATCCAATCATCCATTCACGCATCCATGCATCCATCCATCCATGCATGCATGCATGCATGCATGCATCCATCCATCCATCCATCCACCGACAGATTGTAGAACTCCATTCCCCAGATTTGAAGTCTCTCATAATGCGATTCACAGATGAGCGAACGGCATCTTCCTGGTTCTCCAGCATCCACCAACTCGTCGAACACATCACTAAACAGCACATCCCTATTTTTAATGACGTCAGATCTTCTGACACTAAATCTGACATTCGACACTTGGGCTGGATTAGTGAACAGGTCAGTTGAACGTGTGAGCATTTGTGTGTATGTTTGTGTGCATGTGCATGTGTGTGTGTATGTATTTTTATGTCTCTTTGTGTTTATGTGTGTGTTTGTGTGCATGTGTGTGTGTGTATTTTTATGTCTGTTTGTGTTTATGTGTGTGTTTGTGTTTTTTATTTTCAGCTATCCAATTGTGTGTTTCTTTTTACTTTTTGTTCAGTTTTGTCTGGTAGTGACTTTTCTTTCCCTTTAAAATTATATAACAACACCATTATAATATATTCTTTTTCATACAATACAATGGCTAATAGCATCCCACCCATGTGTTTATATTCTTTATTGAGAACATAAAGCTGCAATTGTTAAAGGACTCATGTGGAATGATAACATTTATGCACGTTTGTATTGTACATATGTTCTTCTCTTTTCATTTATTTATCTGTTGATCTTATCACTTTCCAGTCTCGAATGTAATCATATTCCGGAATCATTTTTCCATTTTTTTTCCACATGATTCAGATTAAAATATATTGAATTCCATCATAAACAGCGGAGCTATGGATGAATATGTTGATGGTAGCTTTCTTTCGTAGCTTATGTAGATGGGATCATCCAGTTTTGTTTCACATCAATTTGATATTTGTGCTGCTGTTATTATGTAGTCTGCTGTTGTTATTATTTGTCTTTTTGGTAAATGTGTGTCTGTTGTTTTGTTGAAATGGTTTTTGTTGGGCTTGTCATTTGGTTAGTTGTTGTTGTTGTCGTTGTTGTTAATATGCTATATACTGAGGTTGTTGTAGTTGTTCATTCTTGGTGTTGCTTTTTGTTGATAGTTTAGTTACAGTTGTTGTTCTTATTACTTAGATGTTAATGGGTTTTTTTTATGATGTTGGCTTAGGCATAGAGAAGAATGAATACAATGCTATTATTTGAAACTCCCATATTATTTCAATTACACTTTGTTTGTGCTATGAAAACAGTGCAATAAAATTAGGTCAGCCATGAACATGACATACTCATACTGTAAGACACACCGTAACACACACACACACAGACACACACACACACACACACATACGCAAATACACACATATATCAAAACACAAATTGCCCAAACCCATATACAGGTCACACAATCTCATGATATCAGTTAACTTTTCTGCCTGTAATTGTATATATATGCGTGCATTTGTATGTACAAGTGTGTGTGTGTGTGTGTCTGTGCGTTAGGGTGCGTCTGTATGTGTGTATATGTGCATCTGTATGTACGAATGTATGCATGTATGTGTGTGTGGGGGTACTCTGTATGTGTTAGAGTGTGTTATATCTAAAGTGTATGATTTGATTTCTTGTTGTTTGGCTGATTGGTTGGTGTTAACTGAGTTCTAATTGTATGATTTGTTGGTTGGTTAATTGATTTTGATTGGTTTATTAGTTAAATAGTTGGTTCAATTTTGCACTGAGGCACATAGATGAGGTTGCTTTTAAATCATTTGATGCTTTATTGAGATAATTAAATTAACTTATTATAGTTTTTTAAAATATTTCGCTTGAATTGATAATAGAATCAAATCAAATAATTTGTTGATGAAAATGCAAGGGCTGCATTTGTTGCTTATCACTTTAATCTATCATGAATTTTTATTTTATTCATTCAATTTGTTTGCATAATAGGAGGAACAACATTCTTTGTAGCAGACCATATAAATCTTGTTTGTTCTGGTGAATTGACTCGTTTGCTTCATATTGAGTTGCATGTTATTTGTCCTTGGTGTATGTTGCCCAAGACATGTGCGTGCATTTTGAACTTCTCTGTATCTATCTGTTTTTATATTTTCTACATTTCACATTTTCACGATCAGATTTTACATCGGATTTTGCATAGGAATCCAAACATAGGATTTTACATTTTCATAAAGTTTCATTTTAGTTGACAATTCTTCTAACAACATTTAGTTGGTTTAAGCAATTTGTTTGGTGTAACTATTTTAGATGAAATTCTGTATGATCATAATCAGATAAGAGGCACATAAAGATCTGTTTAATGTTAATTGATCTCTCAAACTCAGATGTAAGCTTATTTTCACTTGAAACCTTACTTTAGCTGCATCATCAAAGTTGCCTTGTAAAATGTATGTAAATACCGTGTATACATTTTTGAATAATTCCATACTCTCAGTCGTATTTTCTCATTCTAAAAGCATTATTTAATGCTGATGTCAAGAAAAAAAACTGGACCAACATTTTTTAAATAAAGGAAATAAGTGCCAGTTAAAAATGAACTGAAAATATTCAACAGTCACATTTCTGCTGAAACAGAACTCTTTTTACGCCATTGACATTCGAGTAACAAGTAACTCAATCACAAAATTGCTGAAATGTTAATGAATGTCAACAAAGCTTTAATTTTCAAAAGTGTACTTGATCTTTTGCATGTTTGTTCATAATTGTTCACGGTTGGGCTACTTCCTTTTATGTTGGTTTCACAAATTTTCTTCAAAAACATTAGATTTCAATGTTAAAACGTTGTTGTTAATCTTGTCCTTGTGCTCCTGCATTTATATAATTTTTATTGGATAGACTTTAACAAAAAGGTGTATATGTTTAAATGTTAATTTTATTGAAAAATATATGATATGTAATGTGTGAGTGCAGTTATTATTTTTTGCCTACACACAAGTATTAGTGATTGTACAACATATAGAAATATCTACCTCGTAATATGCAATTAGGCGGGTTTATGTTTGTACAGATGTACAAAGAAGCAAGTGGACATGTCTGTGCTACTGGGCAATCTTCTAATAAGAGGTACATGAAAGAGTTGTTGCCGACTTGAACAATTGTTCATGCGCCATTCACACACACTTGCAGTAACATTCACTCACACACACTCTCACACGCATACATTTTTTAAATTATACACATTTATTTACGACCAATCGTACACTGTACACATTTTGCTCATTCACACACTTTCCCAACTGCACATACACGCACACAAACACGTGTATAGGGATATTTTTTATTAATATGGGAATTTGTATTTATTATTTGCTATCACTCATGCAATGTTTGTGCTCAGGATACTGGTGGCTTTCATTTTCATTTTATATACAGCCAAGATATATATATATATATATATATACATATATATATAATATATATATATATATATAATATATATATATATATATATATATATATATATATATATTATATGATCATTTATATAGCGCCTATTAAAAACATTCTCATAGGCGCTTTACAACTATGGCAATTTTCTACAAGGAAAAAAGATATGTCTTCAATTGACTCCTGAACTGGGGAAGTGTCAGACCAGACCGGCGCAAAAATATGGAAGTTCATTCCAATGCCTTGGTCCATAAACTGCAAAACTACGTGATGCAATTTTTATTTAGTAACCGGGACCACTAACAAGTTTTTCCAATCTGATCGTAGGCCAGTTTTTAAAGAAATCGATGATCTGTCAATCAACATTTCGGACAGATAATGCGGAGCCAATCCGTTTAAGCATCTACAAACCAAAACACAGACTTTAAAAACAATTCTTTTGCTGACCGGCAACCAATGCAATTCCGACAGAATTGGGCTAATATGTTCAACACGACTAGCACCAACAACAATTCTTGCAGCTCTATTCTGAACCATCTGCAACTTAGCAATCTCATGTTTCGAAACACCATAAAACAAACTATTACAATAGTCCAATCTAGAATGTATGAACGAATGAATGAATTGATCTGTTCAAACTCTTTTTAATTCGATACAATTGCCGCAATTGAAATGAACAAGATTTTACCAAAACCTTTATATGTTCACCCATACATAGATTTTTATCTATTTTAAAACCCAAAACTGTAGCCATTTTTCTAAAATCAATAATCTTGTCACTTATTTTCACAAAATCAACGTTAATCCTAGAGGTTTGCTGCCAAGTTCCAACTGGTACCAGCTGAGTTTTTTCCCGATTCAATTTTATACCATTCAAACCTATCCAGTGCACCCAAACAATCCAACATTCTTTCAATCAGAAAATCAAACTCCCCAGTCGCCGCACTTGCAATTATCTGAACATCATCTGCATAAGCAAAACCCTTTAAAGAAAATTCATCAATGAGATACATAATATCGGCTGTATATAATGTAAAAAGAAGCGGGCCTAAAACAGACCCCTGGGGAACACCAGACAAAACATCAACTGTATTTGACCAAGAATTATTATAATAAACCTGCTGGGTACGTTTGCACAAATAAGATTTGAAAAATTCCAAAGCTAAGTCACAGACACCGTAACTTAAACATAATCGACGTAACAGTGTATCATGATTCACACAGTCAAATGCGGCACTCATATCAAGTAGAGCCAGAAGAGAGACCTGATTGCGATCAGAAGCCTCAAAAAGTTCCGACAATACCTGTAACAAGGCCGTCTCCGTCGAATGAAAGCGTCTGAAACCAGATTGATTATTCGGAAAAAAGTTATTATCATTTAAATACTTTAGAAATTGTTTATGAACAATTCTTTCTAAAACCTTCGAAATAAAAGTTAAATTCGAGACAGGTCGAAAACTTTTAAGTTCATTCATGTCTAAAGACGCATGCTTCTGATGAGGAATAATAATTGCATGCCTATAAACAGCTGGAAATGTGCCTGTTGACAGACACAAATTAATTAATTCCGTAAAATAGGGCAAAAAATAATCTATATATTGTTTAAAAATATTAGCAGGCATACAATTAATCATACAGGAGGTTGACGGAGAACTAATTACAAAGGTTCTAACTTCAGACTGCGATACCCGCGAAAATTCACAAAATTTTATGTCAACATTAGACCTACACTTTATAGTAGGCTCTCCAGCTACAGATATATTGTTTTTTATCCTTTCAATTTTTTTAATGAAAAATTCAACAAAATCGTTAGCTGTATGGGTCATAGTACAATCATTTGATGACTCTTTACATAAAATTTTATTTAAAATTCTCCATAACTT